AGATGTGTATAAGAGACAGGCCACATAGTGCTTGCCATATTTCTAACACTCTATTGTGAAATATGTTTTCCATTGTTTGTGTTATTGTCTATTGTACTGGATATAACTCTGTATATAGGAATTTACAAAAGTATTCATAGCCACCGAATGGCCATCCCAATATTGCCACGTAAATTAGAAGAATCTAGAAGATTGTTAAGAACAGTTAGTATTATAGTTGGAATATTAATTTTGACTTGGGGAATAATTTGCTTTATAAATTTTTTCATTAGTGTTATGGGACACATTTATGATAAAAGTTATCTATCCAAGATGGCAATTTATCTGTCCAGTTGTCTGATGACAATTAACTCTTTGGCAAATCCAATAATTTACTGGTTTCGACTTACAGAATTCAAAATAGCAGTCAAATACTTTTTTCGTTTCAAAGAGTGAGACATTTTTAGAGTGTTTCTTGCTGTTACCGCGGAGGGTATAGCATTAACCGTCAACGCTCATCTGAGATCCATTGGCAATCGAACTAAGGTGGGGTGGGGTGGTGTGGCAGTGCATATTGACGCATGTAGTATTTAGTTGGGTTTGGGAGTCAGTGGCGTCCAGGATCGAGAAAAATGTTGGGGCCCTTGTATATTAGAAAAATAGTATTTTCGTTCACAAAGTGACCAGGGTGGGTAAATTCCATAGAAATAGTCCTACTTGTTAGGGCTAAAAAGTCTATTTAATTACCAGACAATGTCGAAAAATATCGTGTGACTATTTTTAAAATGAATATTTGCGTGCATTATTATTAGGTCTATATATATCGTTAATTGCGTACTCATTTAATTAGCGTGCATAGGTTACCTGTTTATTCATAAATGTATTCATTTTCCCAATGAAGCGTTGCCAGTATAATTAAGAATTATTAAACAATCATTTATTCGATCTTCCAGGGAGCACGGGGGATAGCTGATCCCCTTCCCCTGGAAAAAAGAGAAGAAAACAAAGTCCAGAAAGCGGGAGGCACAGTACCGCATGCGTACTCCAATCCAAGCTAATTTTCGATAACACCACTGCCATTGTTTTAATCGATTTTTTACATATTATGTATATTGTTTTACATGTAGGCCTATTTAATTAATAATTGGCCTACTATGATGGGTAATCATGTAGTTATTTCTTTATTTATTGATGTTTTAGCGCAGAGGTGGATTCTGGGTGAGTGGAGATTTTTAAAATTAAAATTAATTGTCAAAAGTGTGGTATTAGAGTGCGGCACTCCCTCCTGAGATGTCTCCGTGGCCTCTTTTGAGTGGAGGGCCCGTGGCTGCGCCCCTACCACCCCGAGAGATCACGGGCGGTACGTCACGGTTGGGAGCAATATAGATAATTGGTTTATTCAAAATTTCGGCCAACAAATAATAATAATAATGTACATTCCTGGACTTATTCTGATTGATCATTTTTAAAGTTAGATTGACACTCCGGAAAGCTTTGCCGTAATTTAATATTGAAGTTGCAAAGTCAAACCTTCACCAACCCTCTCTTCAGCTCTGAGTCTTTTGCCACGCAATTGCTTTAATAGGTACGATAAGCTCTGCATAATAATTCTCTGTAGTGATAAATTCAATCAGTAATGAACGAAAAGACTGTAGCTATTTATGTTTAAGACTAAAACGTATTTCTAATTCTGATTGGATGTTATTGTCCTAAGCCCAATCCATACATAGCCCTGTAATAGTAACCAATCAAAATTAGGAGTTCAAATGAGACAGGTGCAACATCAGCTGCTGCCTAACAAAACAAGTGAAGACCCAAAGACGTGGAAGCTAAGTATTATGGAAGTGCAAAATAAGAGTTGGATAGATCAAGCGTCTGAAATTCTCAATACAGAACCTTTCTTTCTGTACGCAATACCGATCCTCTACGTATTCTCTGTATTGTCATTTCTTGCAAACATATTTGTTGTGGTGTTGATTTTAGCCACCAAGAGACTCCGTAAAATACAAAACGTTTTTGTAAGTTTGCTGGTTTTGCTGACGCGGCAAGTACCGTATGTATCGTATTAACGTTCAATTATATGTTGTTATCAAAAAACGAGAACACTTTGTTGATATCAACAGTAGCAGTAATTTTGCTTTTTACATCAGTTTGTTCAATTGCTTGTATTGCTATCGATCGCTACATCGCACTCGTGTGGGCACCGATGAGATATCACCTTATTGTCACTAGGAAAACTTGTACGCTCGCCGTCATCATCGTGGTAGTAAGCAACACCGTTTTTGCTATAGTTTTAACGTTATTTGAAAGTCAGTGTGGATTCTGTTTTTCAGTGCTTACAATACTGTATATAACACTAATTATGACTCTGTATATAGCAATTTACAAAGGTAGCCACAGGATGACCATCCCTCTATCGACACATAAGGTTGAAGAATCTAAAAGATTGTTAAGAACATTTTGTATCATAATGGGAGTGTTAATTTTGATGTGGGGATTAATTTGTTTGTCAGAAATGCTCAAAAGTTTTATAAAAGCAACTGATGATCTAAGCCTATATGAAATGATTAGAATCTATTTTAGTCACATCTTTATGACCATTAACTCTTTAGCAAATCCAATCATTTACTGGTTTCGACTCACTGAGTTTAAAAAAGCAGTTAAAGACGTGTTTTGTCTAAAAAATAAGAGGCAAAGTGCACATTAACTGTTGCGGTTAATTAATTAATATATTACATGTGTGTCAAAAAATTTAGTATGAGCATGGAGGTATTAATACCATGGTATGAGATGGAGAAGAGATAAGATTTTTGCTTTTTCTTAAATATACCGACAGACGATAAAGTAGGGCATTTCATAGTGTATAGGGCAATACCTGAGAAATTATGTTTACCCAGTTTTTATGTCTCCACCTGCCTTGCTCAAGAAGGTGCTTGTTTGAAGACCTAAGAATGTGAGGATTAAATTTTGGTTGGTAGTGCGATGTACCAAAGAGTATAAATAGAACAAGAGAGCAAAGTCCCGTTCGTAAAAACGTCATGCCTGTGTAGGACGCCAACTAACGGTTGTATATTCTTTTTATTACCCAGTGCAGCGCTGCGCAGCGCG